GTGGATTTTGGCAGGGTTTATATTTTTAAATCAGGGTCCCTGATTTCCAGCTTCAGCCGTTTCCAGCATCAGCCGCGGCAATGAATGACAGCTATAAACCGCAAGATAACCTGATGGATAAGATCGATCCATACTTCCTCTCCCAAGATAATTACTTCTCTGACTGGAATAAATGGAGTTTGGTATCCTTCTTAGAGTATGCGGACGAGAGAAAAACCTTGTCATTTAATGACAAAAGAGAACTACATCGAAGGTTTGTGGACTCCATAAGTGCGATTTTAAAGTCAGACGCACCAGCAATTATGAAGGAAGCGATCAAGGATCTTAAGAATGAGGTGCGTGAGAGATATTGAATACTGTTGAGTTTATTCTCAAGCTTTTTAATACGATCCTTCATTAGACGTGTTCGGTCAGTGTTGATTTGTTCTGGAAGAAAGTTAAAACGGATGAGGAAATTGCTATTGCAGAGGGCGCAAACAAGCATTTCTTGAACTAAAGAATAGGTTTGAAAATGTACGCACATTTATTTGTTCTATGCTTCTTAATACTGATATACTGACCTGAGATCATGTATTTTAGAGGGTAATTGAGAGTCGCGAAAAGGAAGTGGAGAAGGATGTGAATGTAATTATAATCGCTGATATGGTGGTTTGATTAAATCAAGAATTTTCATAATTTGTTTTTTGTCTGATTTTTCAAAACTTTAGAAAGCACTGTCAGTGTTGGATGCTCCCACCACAACATCACCATCTGATAATGCTTCTACAGCACCACCACCTTGTTATACTCCCACAACACCACCTCGTAATGCGTCACAACCACTATTACAGGATGCTTCCACCACAACATCACTATCTGATAATGCTTCTACATAGTGTTCTGAGTTGGTAAATATTTTACCAATCGATTAGTTGCCAACTATAGTTGCAAATCGATTGTTCACATCACGTGGCATCATCAGATGATTAGCCAATCAAACCAAAGGAATTAATTCGGATCTGCCCAA